CAATTGCTTATTGATTTGTTTTTTAGTGGATAAATAGTCATGCAATAAAATATTGATGGATAGAGTAGTGATCCCAACATGTCATTTAACAATCACGGAACTTACACCACACTAAATTGCTTATTCACTAAAAGACAAATAGATAAGCAATTCAGTTCAGCCAAATCAACCAATCAAACGGTTTCCTCAAATCATTGAACAAAATTCTAATTTAACTCAGAATTTTATTTCTTTACATCCGTTTGGTGGCAAGAGAGTGAGGATTTTGAGGGATATGTAGTTTGCTATCAGGACAGAACTGAGATTAGGGTAAAGAAGTTCAACCTAGCACAATAAACCAAGCCTTTCAGGTTCATTTTTGGCTGGCGTGGGGCCAAGAAAACTGGTGCCCCACTAAACCCTTTCTTTTTTTTTTTTTTGGAACTCTGATTTTCACTTTTCCCCATTGAAAAGAAAATTGGTCAATGCATCCATGCAGAAGCGCCAAACCAACATCCAAGCATGGTGTGAGAGTGAGACGAGCTGATTCACGGGGGGCCACCAAGAATCCTCAGTGAAATCTCTACCCACCTTTTATTATAATGTAGAATTGACTATGTCTTTTATGTTGGAGACATTCCTTAAAAACAAAATACATACAGTAGACTCTCTAATAATTTTCATCTCTCTCAATCATCTTTCATAGAAGTAATTGAAAATACTGATTTGTTAATGGAATGGAAGTAGAATGCAAAGTGATCAAGTGAAGTTAGGAATTCATTATAAAGTATAAACCATCGAGGTTGTGTTTGGATCAGCATGGAATTGGAATTTTGGAAGGATAATAGAAGGGTTATATTTGGAATTTATGCTACTTAATATATGTGTAAAATTTATGTTATTCGGATCATCTGCCAACAAGATACGTTCCAATACCCTTCCAACATGAACTGCTACCACACATCTCAATCTCATACATGGTGGATCCTAGTTTTTTAATGGGTCCCAGTTTCTTAGTGAGATGGCAGTGTTAGATCATGTTGGAAGAGTTAGCGCGAGATCCCAACTATTTATATGTGGGTGTATGCTGGCCTAGGCTATGCTTGGACACAAACCTAAGCCCAAGCCTGGATGTTTTCAGGCTGAACTAGGCTAGGCTATAAATGATAATCCCTAACTTGGGTCAGACTGTTTAGGTCCAGGCCCGGCATGGGCTCTCTCTTTTATCATATCTGCTAAGCCCGGCCATGATCATCCCAGTACTCTCTAGAAATCTCCATTCTGAAAAAGAACCGGATTAAAAGTGACCCAGATTTTATGGGTGGAAAAAGTTGTGGAATGGAGGGGTGTGAAAGGAATGGAGATTCGTTAAAAGAATTTGGGTAACCCCGAAGTCCGTAGCCGAGCGCCTTAAAAGAGACTGACATGAGAGGACCAAGTGGGCTAGATGACGTGGAGGGGTGGGGACCACCGAGAATAATAAAGAAAGTGATAAGCGGGTTTCGAGGGAGGTTGAAGGCGACAAGTACGACGCGTGACAGGTGGCGTGTCTCCCCTCCAGCATGTTACTGGGCCAATGATGATATGGCACATCAGCCTGACATGTGGGACCCAGGTATACGGATTTTTCGTGATTCGTGATGTATGACAATCGGCCCACTGTATTGCGAGAAGTGTAGACGTCTTGTGTTAACTCACCGGCTCACGTTATCAATCTACGGTGAGTTTCGTTTCGGTTTCGTATCAAGAGCCTCAAAGAATTTAATAAACAAAACAAAGTTTAAAAAAATAACAAAATAAGAATATAAAGCTAATATTCTCCATCCCTGCATCTCAGTAAAATGATAAAATGCCATTCTTCCTATCCGTAAAATCTGAAGTAGACCGCTTTTTTTTTTGAAAAAGTTCTTATAGTTCATCTTTATTCTTTTATTTTTTTTAGTTGTTACCAAAAAAATTATTTTTCATATAGCAGTAGTAGTTATTAGTAATTGATAGATAAATGTTTCATATTTTATTATAAAAATAGTAATAAAATATAATATCAGGCTGGGTGTGGGGGCCTAAAAGCTGTAACACGGCCCAGCCCAGCCTAGCCTGGTCCATGATCATAGACTACAACTTGGGTTCGGCCAACACACAAAAAAAAGGTTAGGGTTGAAAAATGCAAAACCCAATTAGAAATGGGTTGGATAAGGGTTGATGCCTTGAGAAACCCAGCCAAAACAGAACCTAATGTGTTGTACTTGTACACTCTATTATTGAAAAATGTATTGATTTATGTATAGAAATATGTTTATTGTGAGAAGAATAGTGGAGAGGATGGGTGGTGTTTTTTTCCCTAAAATATTACCATAATGTGTATATATAATATGTGAACTTGCATGAATGTGGTTGTGGTAGTTTATCTGTGTATATATTTTCAAGTTAAATAGACAAGTTTCCAACCCATTCCAACCTGATTTCAAGATTCTGTTGGGTCAGGCTTAGGGTTGACCTCAACCCACAGGATAACCTAATCTGGGTTACATCTCTAATTCACGGACAATAGTAGGAATGAAAATGGCATACTTAAATAAGACATACAAGAAGTGGGCCAATCATGAGATGCTATGTCAGCCTGATGCATGGGACCCCGTGCATATAGAGCTGACGAAACACAGGGTGATTGGCCCGATAATTAAATGTTGAACTGTAGAGGACTCGTACTTGTGCAGGAGAGGCATAAAAAACATAGTGCATTGATAAGGTGGGGTGTAGCCCAACAACCTCCTAGTGCCGAGTGCTCAGCTGTTTATGCAAGGGAAGCTCTTTAAATCCTACACTCTTACTAGTACCAACTACCAGATACAAACTGCTGAATCAAGACATCATGGACACTGTATTGCATTCGTCTTCACCTATCAGAATGGAATGGGCCCTCACAATCTCACATGAAACAAAGTTATGATCAAAGCGGTTATTGACACATACTGGTGTTCTGGTACATTAGATGGTTGATGACAAGGTGTTCCATTTTGTTCACTAGTGTTAATGACAGCCAACCCTGCTTCCCAAACTGAACCATGTGAGTTAAGGTTCTACATGAGCCAGAAGAAAAGAATGAGCAATTATTACTTCATGGAGCAAGAAAACACACACTAAAGAAGCAGATGACCAATACTGAAAATGATGTATAGATGTGTATTGATTAAGGGTTGCAATTACATTTTTGTTACTTGACACGGAAAGTAGTTGTAACAACCTTCCAACTGAAAATAGTAAATCTGGTCTACATATTGATAACAGTAAATAGGGTGCTTTTTTTGTCAAGCAAAAGAGAGGGTGTTTGGTGTAGTGTACAGGAAAGGAAAAATTAAGCCAGTTTACTCAGTTGTTTGCAACAAAATCTTTTAATCAAAATGCTTAATGAAAAACATTTCAAAGCATTTGTGAGATAAGAAAGGAACCAGCTTATGTTTTTGTTTTGCCAACACTTACTGTAATATTTTCAATTCTGTTTTTCCTACACCCTTCTGGTCTAGGTCTAGCATCAAGTTTGATGTTCCCTTATCTCTAAGGAGTGCAGGAGATCCATTATTTACCTGACTTTATTTCCTTTCACCCCTTTTTGAAAGAATAGTTCAGAAGCTATTCTATAGATTGCTTGGTAACCATTATTTGACAGATGCATTAAGATCCATGACATTTTGCCGACCATTTGTTTTGGTAATTAGTACCTAAGGCTGTGTTTGGTTGCAGTGCAATTTTATTTGCACTAGTACAAATGCATGGGAGTGCAAATGTAAAAAATGCAAATTCTCGTTTAATTTTGTTTTGGATTTTAATTTATTTTGCTTCATGTCTTAATTTACTACATTTGTATTGCAACCAAACAAAATAAGCTAAAAGTTGAAAACAAAAATAGGTCAGAATTTACACTCAAATCATTTGCACTGCCATGGTTTTGCATCAGTGCAAACTTATTTGCGTTGTAACCAAACACAGCCTTGGCTCAGTTTGGAAGGAGTACAAATACAAATATGTAGAGTATAAAACCTTATATTTTGTATGTATTTGCACTGTACATATTTGTATCCGTACTCTTGCCATTGGAAGGAGTACAAATACAAATATGTAGAGTACAAAACTTTGTATTTTGTATGCATATGCACTGTACATATTTGTATTTGTACTCCTTCCAAACTGAGAGCCTAAATGGAAATATGGAATGATCAATTTAGAATTTTTATTTTCAAAATTTATAGTAACCCATCTCTCCCAATTCCTATTATTAGGCTGGTGATGACCCTTTTATTTCTCAATCTTGTGAGGAGCCTTTAGAGTATAATTTAACATTGACGGGCTAGAAAAGGCTCACATGCTCTCAGTTGTCATGCTATTTGGACTATGATTAGAACTGCAAAGCATATGAACATTCGAGTCCCTCTAAAATGTGATACAAGTGCAACACTCATCTAAAACTTAGCCAGAAGTAATGCCTATCAAAAGCAAAACAAAGAAATTATCAAGCGGGGTGTGGTGATAGAAGATACCTAATACAAATTTTAAACCAGAGCCAATCTTTAGCAAGCCTGAGAAAAATCATGGATCAAAGCTAGGAAGCATCAGATGTATGTCTTCACTATAGTCAGAAGACATTTCTCTTTCAGATTCATCCAAACTTGATCTGTCAGAAAGAAAAGGGCAGGCTTCCTCCTTATTCAGAGATATCCTGAAACTAAAGGATGACAGATCCTGGAACTTAGACATAAGTTCGGCAAAGTGTATTTGGTTCTTTGCATAGCTTGATCTGTCCAGGCAACTTTTGGTTTTATCTCCAGTAAGCATGAAAGAAGATAAACCTTCTGTTTCCTTCCCAACAAATTGGACATCAGGATTGTTTGATAACTGATTTTTTCTAAAGAAATCAGTAATTGAAAGGTTCTTCCATTTGACATCTAAATTGAGACCAGAATGTAGCAAAGTATCGGCATTTGGATAAAGCTTTTCTTTGAATACTTCACTCATCATAGGATTCAAGAGAATGCTGCCCTTGCAGTCTTGAGCAAGATAATTTTCAGAACACAAGGACATCAGAAAATGATTTGGCATTGCAACTGAATAATCTTTTTCATCTGGAAACTGTCTTTCTTTGGGATGACTTTCTGAAAGGAAGTATGGCCATAAACTGATTTTTGGGGAGCAATCAATGGCAAGGATAGATGAAGAGTCATTGTACCATTCCAGTTGCATGGTAGAGAAAGATTTCTGCTTAATCTGTAAAGAATTTGTGTCAAAGTTACTGTTCAAAGTACACTGCTGATCATCTCCAAATGAAGTTGTCCTAGTTGGACTTAGGTCTTCCATCATATCATGAGAAATAGAAGACAAAACTGCTTTGTTTTTCATATCCTTGTCATCCCAACCCAGAAATTTTGTATTTTGCTGTATTCCTACTGTAGGTTCATTTAGAGCATAGAGTTCATCAAGAACTTTGGAACTTAACTTGTGAACTGGGCCAGGTGACTGTTTCCAGAGGTGCCAATGAGAAGAAAAGCTTTCACAAGCAGAGTGCTCAAATTTGGATGGCTCCAACAACTGATCCAGTGTGACACATCCATAATTTGTGACTGATAATTCTTTACCCAGGAATTTTGTACTCTGTTTTGTTCCTACTGTAGGTTCATTTAGAGCATATAGTTCATCCAGCTCTTGGGAACTGAACTTCTGAATTGGGCCAGGTGACTGTTTCCAGAAGTGCCAATTAGAAGAAAAGTTTTCACAAGCAGAGTGCTCAAATTTGGATGGCTCCAACAACCGATCCAATGTATTACCTGGATCAATACCAAAATCTGGTTCTTTCTTGGTGTGCAAAACCGTATTTTTCCCAACATCTAAAATGAAACTAGGTTGACCATGCTTGCACTGAAGAAGAATTTCATTTGCAGACACATTTGAAAGAGAATCACAATCCACTTTGTCATACGGTGAAGGGATGACCTCTCTGGATTGCTTGGACCAACAATCCAATAAACCTTCATCCAAGTATTGCTGAGCTATAGGTTCCATTTGATTTATAGTTGGATCCTTTGACTGTTCCTTGAAGTGGATATCCAAGTCATGAGAATCAAGCAACTGATGTCTGTTGTCCAACTCCACGTGATTTAGACTTTGAACCTTGCAACTCTACAAAAAGTTGATTTTCAGTTCTAGTCCGCAAAAGAATTGATTTCCTGTTCAACATAAGCTTATGGCAAATGATGAAAGATAATAATGTGACAACTGAGAAGTTCCATATCCATCCATGGAACTGAAAGATCATACTTGGCTTGGTTTGCTTGAAGGGACCAGCCGCTGAAGTAGCACTGAAACCAGATCATACCTGAGCAAATTTGTATCAATTTCATAACAGAAGACAAAGAGATAACAGAAAACTCATTGATTGAGCTATTTCTAACCCCTTTGAACAGCACTCATCAGCCTCCAGAGCTAATGCTTCTGCAGCTAACTGACATAATTTTTGTCTCTTTCTCATAAATACTTCTTTGTACCTGTACTGAGGTCCTGAAAACTCAAAAACATGACTTGACTGCAGCATTGTGTTTATAACTGAAGTTGCATCCATTAATTGACAAACAAAAATATGCTGACGCTGTCACTCTAACTTTGAGGATTAGGGAAAAGAAAGGGAAATCTATTTCATCTATGTTCATTACCATAGAAGTAATTACAATTTACAAGTAACATAATCTCAAAAGGTAAGTACATGAAAATATTTGGTGTGTCAGAAGTGAAGGAAGAAAGCTATATTAGCACAATGCTAGAATAGAGGGAGTATAAACTAGGAAACAATGTCAATGAAAAGAGTAGGATTACTATAAATGATAGAAAAATGGTGTGCACCTGAGAATTCCCAGATAGATATCTGGTACAGGAAATGGAGAGAAAATTATCTATTTCTCCCCAAACCCAGGAGCCATAACAATAATAATAGCATCCCATTAGATAATATTGCTACCATGCAAAAAAATACAGTTTTATTTTGTTCTTAATGGTTAAATGGCTTGCTTTATGTGTTCCAACAGTCATAGGGCTTTTCATGTGTTGGTCAAATACATAAAAATCATTGTTTAGAAAACCGGACCAGACCAGACAGTCGAACCAGCTGAACCGTGACCCGAGGCCATGACCAGTTCGGCCACACTCCAATAACCGGACTTGCTCAAAAACCAGTGAAAACCAGCTGACCGGCCAATTTAACCAAAAAACCAGTGAACCGGTCCCGGTTTTATGAAACCGCCCGGGTCCATACATAAGTGAAATTTTAAAATGTTGCTAATAAGATTTGAACACAAAACCTCTTATTTATATAGATTACATAATTACCACTAATCCATCTCTTTGCTTATGCTAAATAATGACTCTTTATTGTACATATTACATTATTATGCACGTATTTTAAAGAAAATGTAAATTAAAAGGCTTGAACCCTAGTCATTTGTTTTAAAAATTAAGAAGTTTACCATCCATCCACCATATTTAAGTATATTAAATGTTTGTAAAATATATTATATATAGTATTTATATGACCCATAGTATATATATGTATTTGCCACATCATCACAGTTCGACCCCGGTCGAACCTCTGACCTGTGAACCTCTCCCTTCTCCGGTTCTATGCCCGGTCCAGTTCTCTGAACATTGATAAAAATTGGTATCAGAGACTATAGAGTTGTAGGGCAATAATATCTTTATTTATGTTGCTGTTAGCATACCATTTATATAGCTGTTAGCATGTTAGTAGTGTTAGTAGGTTATTTCTGTTATTCTTTAGTTGCTGATAGTTATGTAAGTAGGGACAATAATGTAAGTTTTCTATATTTTAAATCTTTAATATAAATAGCTGAGTGGGGCGGCAATGCGCAAGTCAATCCACACTCTTCTCTGAATTCTTTTCCTTTCGATATCTCTCTCTCTCTCTCTCTCTCTCTCTCTCTCTCTCTCTCTTCTTTCTCTTCTATTCTCTAACTTTTCTTGTTGAATTCCCATCTAGAGTAGAACTGATCAGTCTCTACTAGACAAGTTGGTATCAGAGCCAACCTAGGGTTTCTCATGTGAGTCTAATTAGGCCGACTACATGGGAACTTCCTAGGGTTGGAACTTGGAAGTTTTAGCAAGATTTATCAATCAGCTGGTTCTTGGAGATCATTGGTAGAGTGCAGCAGTTTTTCAAGAGATTATAGAGCCTTGGAAAGAGTCCGATGATCAGGAAGAACGAGGGGGAAGGAAAGAAATTCAAGATTAGGGTTCAGACTGAGGATTGGAAGTGACGGCTAGTTTTTTTTGGGTAAGTTTCAATCTTTTTTTGAAATCGACACCAATCAGAAACTGATAAGAGTGATCTGGAAGGAGCGGCTGTTTATTTCTGATTTCTACTAGTCTTTCTTTAAGGTTTTCCCAAACCCACGACCAGTTCTCTGTTTTAAATCCTATTAGTCTGACTGTGAGTAGTTTCTGGGGTAACAGTTGATCTGTTTTTAGCATTCCAGATTGGTTGGTAATGAATTTTTTGAAGATTATTAGGCCTGTTTCAGAATTTCTAGGTGTTTGCTAGACCTTTTTCAGCATTCCAAGTTGGCTGTTAGCAATTTCAGGGTGTTAATTACCTTTGTTTCAGCATAAAAAACAGTTCTTTGTGATAAATTCTTGGTAGAGATGGCAGGAACTGAGTTAAAAAGTCAAGGGGAGGGTGTTTTGGGGGCTAGAAACATGATTGAAAATACCTTTCAGATTACCACAGTGAAATTTGATGGATCAAATTACTTGGAGTGGGCCCAATCAGCTATGATGGCTATTGGAGGTAGAGGGAAATTAGGCTATGTAATGGGGGATGTAAAGAAACCAGCTAAGGAAGACCCAATATATGCCAAATAGTTCAGGAGAACTATTTGGTCATGGCTTGGTTGTGCAATTCCATGCAGCCTCATATCAGCCGAAATTACTTGTGGGCCAAAACTGCCAAGGAAATTTGGGACATCATGAGAGAAACCTATTCTCAGCCACTTAATGTTGCTAGGGCCTATGAACTGAAATGTGAAGTCAATAATCTTAAGAAAGGAGAGAAACCAGTCTCAGTTTACTTCTCTACTTTGAAGTCTTTGTGGCATGAAATTAATCACCTAGAGACAATTGAGTTGGAAAGTTAGAAGGATGCACAGACATACAGAAAACAGGTTGACACCAATAGAGTTTTTGAATTCCTAGCTGGTCTGAATCCAAAATATGACATTGTGAGGCAACTTCTCACTAGGGAGAGTTTGACCTTGTCTCAGACCTATTCCTTAGTGCACAGTGAAGAATGTAGGAGAAAGGTTATGCTACAGTATCAGCCTATGGAATCAACCCTAGCAGCAATGGAACTAAAGTTTGGGGGTGACAAAGAAAGGGATATGAAGAAAGAGGACAAGAGGGAGTTGGTTTGTGATCATTGCAAGAAACCAAAGCATACCAAGGACCCATATTGGAAGCTGTATCCACATCTAATTCCAACAAAACTCAGAAACAAAAAAAGGAATGCCAATGTGGCAATTACTACTGATGGTGTTTCATCCTCTAGCACAAGAACCACATCCTTGGACACCTTAGCTGCTATTCGAGCTGCCCTGACTCAATTGGAAAATGGAAAGTGAAGTTGGCACATCAGCACCCTCATCTTAACCACCGGCTACATCTGCTACTTCCACTTCTGCATTTTCTCATTCAGGTACAAGGGCTTTAGCATATCATGTTTCAGCCCCAAGTAACAGTGAACCTTGTTGGGTTATAGATTCAGGTGCATCTAATCATATGACTAGCTTATCCTCATTGTTTAATACTTATTGTTTATCCTCTGGCAGAGACAAAGTGTCCATTGCTGATGACTCCCTTGTTCCCATTTCCAGCAAGGGAACACTAGATTGTCTGGTGCCATTTCATTGTCCTCAGTTTTGCATGTTCCTAAACTTAGTACCAACCTGCTTTAAGTTAGTAGTATCACTAAAAATCAAAACTGTTCAGTGATTTTCTTTCCTAATCAGCGTGTTTTTTAGGATCTAGAGACAAGGAAAGTGATTGGGATTGGCCATGAGACGAATGGAATTTACTTGCTTAGAGGACATTCACATAGGGAAGATAGAGAAGTGGGGAGGTCATTAGTTTCTCAGTCTGTAAGCCAGGTTATGCTTTAGCATAATCAGCTAGGTCATTTGTCTTTTAGGTCTTTGAAGAGTTTATTTCCTAGTTTGTTTAAGTTCAAATGTCTAGTTTAAAATGTGAAAGTTGTGAACTTGCAAAGCACTGTAGAACAACCTATTCTTTAAGCAATAAAAGTAGTATTCCTTTTGAAAGTGTGCATTCTAATGTATGGGGACCATATCACATCACTGCTATGGGGGGATATAGATATTTTTTGCTGTTTGTTGATGACCACACTTGTTTCTCATGGGTTTAACTTATACACTCTCGAGATGAGGTCCCTACCCTAACTCGGATTTTTCATCAGATGGTTTTGACCCAATTTGGGGTCAAAATCAAATCTATCAGATCTGGTAATGCTAAAGAGTACTTTGCAAAACCATTGGCTTCATAACTCCTTGACCATGGGGTTATCCATCAGAGACTTGTTCCCATACACCTCAGCAAAATGGGGTTGCTGAGAGGAAAAATAGGCATATATTGAAGGTGGCCAAAAGCATTATGCTGACTTCCAATGTTCCCAACGTTTCTAGGGAGATGCTATCCACACTGCTATGTACCTCATCAACCAATTTCCTTCACGTGTCCATGACAACGAGAACTCCATTTAACCTATTATATCCCAATAAGGACTTGTTTACCATTCCTCTTAGGGTACGTTTGGTTTCTGCGATTGAGATGTGAAAATGGGAATATTCCCATTAGATTCTTATTTTTAGGTGTTTGTTCGTCGAGATGGGAAGGGAAACTATGTGATGCCAGTTCACAAAATCAAGGATGTGGGGTCGCGTCGAAATCGTGCGACCCCGGTGAGAAAGAGTCATAGAAAATTGAAGCTCCACAGCCAACTCTCACTGCTTCCCGTTTACAACGATTGAGTCTCTGGCAACATTCCCGATGAAGAATAGCTCTCCGGTGACGTTCATCGGTCCCCTCATGCTACCGGCTGTTGAGAAGGAAAACGCCAGGGTTCTCTCTATTCATTGCAAAGAATAGCTCTCTGAATGCTGCCTTGTATTTGCTTCTATTGCTAAAATCATGGTAGCAGAGGCATCAAGATTTGGTGGGTCGACCGATTTCTACATCGGCAACCTGATTAGCTTGACACTGAAGAGCAAAATCCATTACGAAGGTGTTCTCTACAATATTAACACCGAAGAATCCAACATCGGATTGAGAAATGGTACCCTTCTGATTTATGGGGTTTTCTCTTTATCTGTAGCCACTATTGTGTGGTTTTGTATTCTGGGTTTTAATTTTCTTGGTCGCCATTGTTTTTGTTTATAGGACAACTTGTATGAATCAAATTGGATATTGGTTTTTTCTTGTTT